GTATGGCTATCTGCTAAAAATAACGTGTAGTAACGGCCTGCATATTTCAAAGGAGCCCCGTGTTCCGTTTCCCAGGGGATGTAATAGTGACACACATCCGCTGGGGAAAATAACACTGTTCCGAGACCTGCGTTAAAATGGCCGCTAATGTACCTTCCAGTTTGATTGTAATGTGAGTAACTGTCTCAGAAGCGCAGTTTTATCATCCCTTGGGTCTTAGATATTGGTGTTAAATGGTCCATTCCCATTAGACGCACAGTATTCCCATGGGTACTCATAAAGTTGCGCAACTCCGTATAAGGATAGTCACGTTTTCCTATTTAAATGATTAGAAACTTGGAAAGCATATTTTTCCACTAGACAAATTGTTGGCTTACTCGTTCTACCATTATGTGCTCCACTTTAGGAAGAACAAAGGAAAATTAGGAACTGTTGCTTTTCCTAAGGAACATAGCAAAGCAGTCAGTGCACCATTATCAATCGATTTGGCATCCAACTGCTTGGGTTACCTTAGACAACTGAAGACTAGCAGGGGGAGTTTAATGCCCTAGGTAGAAATTCATCACATCTTAACTCGGGCAGACAGCCATAGCACGCGCGAAAAAGCATGTACGGACGTTTTATGCTTTCGAGAATCGTCAGCCTTGCGCATTCCATCTGACCTTTCTAGGGTTCCAACCTGTACAATGCAAGTCAGTCGATAGTGAGTGATGCAATAACACAGCTAGTAATCTAGACACGACGGTCGTTGCTGTCTCCGTAGCTCAGTGGTCTCAGCCACAGACTGGGAACAGTTAAGTTGCGAGATTGAGCCCTACAAAAGTCAGATGAATTGCACAGTGTTGACGATTCACGAAAGGATAAAACGGCCGTACATGCTTTTTCGGGCGTGTGATGGCTGTCTGACTGAGTCAAACTGTGTTGAATTTCTATTGATGTTAAACTAGTGGCAAGCCAAAAGCGACAAATATCCGCCGTTCACCGAGTAACCTTAAGACATTCGGAGCTCCTTACCATCTTGTAGCTAGATTCCATGCCTTTGAGAAGCGGCTTTTCTCACCGTTCAGTTGTAAGGCATCTGGTAATAGAGAAAGAGCCGTATTTTCTCATGGCAACTGTCATAGTACAATCAACCATCCCTGCCTCGACCTACGTGGCGGTTAACTGCGTATCTGCATGGAAGTGATTGGCTCAAAATAAATGGGCATTGGTGGTGATCCCGGAGTGACGGACTATCGTTCAATGTTACTACAGATTTAACCCTTAGCAGACGTGAATATCCTAGTTTTCTCCGTGGTCGGCGGATAGCGTTTCTAGGCAGGTTAAATTGTGCGATGCCCGATTAGGTTCAAGGCAGTAAATGGTTTAAGTTTGCCCCCACAACTTTCAACCGTGGTGAAGCTAGTTCAGTCTTCAAGGATTAGTTATAGAGTTGCGCTAATAGCAACAAGGATTAAACCATGGGCATTAAAGGGCTAATAGCCAAGTGACTAACAGTCTTTAATGAGATTCTTCAAATAGACTGATATATTGAACCGAAATCTGAGTTGAACTAGTCTCGCCTCTTTAGTGTGCTAACTTGTTCGAAAGGAAGAGGGATTACTGTTAGCAGGCATCCTGGATCTAGGGGAAAACCGACGACATAACCAACCAGCAATGAGTAGTGGAGGCTGCTGCTTCCCATCACTTCGGTATCTTCTATGTACGGAATAAGAATTGTTATTTGGTGGTATGACTTGAGTTGCAAAGCTGAATTTTGTTTAAAAGTTTGCTGCCAAAATCAATCCACTTGCTGAAAAGGATGATGACCCTTGACAAGAAATAATTTTGAGTGGTGGGTGTAACCATTAGATAGTTGGACAGAACTTTGGCGTAGGCTCTGGATTAAAATCCATCATTATTCGGTTGATTGGGGTGGCCACTACCGAGATGCGACCGAGAGCGGGATACTAAATATACGTGGCGCGTTGCGGTGAGTAGCATCAGCATAGGTCCAAAGAAGATATGTCCATAGTTGATGCAAATTCAAATGATTTGTAGTAAAACTAGCATATACTTGCATAAACACGTATGTTTCTTGCATAGCCATTGGTTAAAAGCATACCTTTAACGCGTGTTTAGGTAGTTGTTTTATCAGAGAAAACGGAACTTACAAACAAAACGAAGAACTTCTCCTATTTCACTGTTGAACCCTACGGAAAGAAGTAAATGTCGTCCTATATATATACAGTTAAAATATCATAAGAAAAGATATTACACATCTGAAGTTGCTTCATACTTAAACTGGTATAAATGATCCTTAAAACACTTCAAATCCTGCGCATCGTCCACAGAGTAAGGAAAAGTAATAAATATTTTGTGTAAGTCCCTAAAAAGGATATTAATGCTAATGCACTGTGAAGCGACAATTCGTAAGGAAGTCTTGAGTGAAAGTGTTTCCACGCAATCCAATTAAAGAAAACCGGAGCTGCAATACGACAATATGTACAACTAATTAAAATAAAGATGTACAATACCTCAGAAACCTGTGCTTCCGACAGAGGAGTATCAAACAACAACAACAACGATAACAAAAACAACAGCAATAATCCAAGTTGGCCAGCAAGCTGAGCTACATGTCCACGTAGAACAAGCCCGTCCCAATGCAGTGTGGCTTAAACAGGCTTACACCTGACCAATCGGAAAGGGAGGTAACCATGAAACCTGAGCGTTTGGCCAGTAGCTTACGCACACACATACATTTGGCCTCACGGACATGGTAGTTTCATGTATGTACACTCTACTCATATGATCTCGCAACATCATCAAGTCACATGCGATGTGAAGAATGTCTTGCTCGCCAGTGTCCGAATACTACGGCGAGGGAGTTAAAACGGAAAATCACAAAACCGATAAAATGAGGCAAAGCGACGTGAAGCGACAATGATGTATGTTCAGAATTTGGAGACGTTGGTCAATGCATGCACGATCGAATGCAGGCCATCTACCTGTTTAACGTGTATATAAACGTAATTCAGTTGGCACGGAACACAATCTCCATTGACAGTCAGATAGTAGAAATCGGTTGGGACAGGGAGTGGTGGAAATGCAGCAGAGGATAGGACATTTGGCAATTTGCTACATCTTGATTTGGATTACTCCTCGGTTTTGAGTTTCTCAGTTGCAATACCAGACGACTGACATGTTGTAGCTGAAATACCACAACTCGCTGTTATGTTATATATAAAATGTTGCTTCAATACTTTTCGCATGCAGCACCACTTCCAACGCACATCCTTGGCGGAAAAACCATTCAGTGTTAGCCTGCGAACTGTGCACTGAACTTGGATTAGTAGAACAGTTAAGCTTCTGTCAAGGGAATCTGAAAGTATACTTTAGACACATCTGTCGATAAACACATTACCCAAACCTTAAAACGTCCGGAGGAGACAATGCGATTGCTTTTAGTTGAGATTTTGGAACTTAGGTCACCTCAGTTATTTCGATGGACCACTCGCATAGGCATCAAGTGCAGCTGGTTAGGTCTGACTATTAGTAAACAATTCCATAAATTTAAGGAAAACCACTTTCAGCTGAAAGTACACCATACCACGGTAAGCAAGTTAGTTATCTTTCCAAATTCTAAGTAGTACGTAGAATGCCCACCAGTTCGGAGTTGTTACGATGCGGCTTGTCAAGAAACCGCTCGTTAGTATTGAGTGACTTGCATAAGGCGTCTGCTAACCACATCGTGTTTCATAGGCACACATCTTTGTCATTCTACACTAAACGGTCTACTAGAATGATTGAATAATTTCATCGGATCTTCTCTCACTGTCCCACCATAAGTCGAATTTCTACGCGTTGCACAAGTTTCCAGGAAAAGAATGAGCACCTATCATTTCACCTGTCTTTTATTGGCCAACTTTTGAGTCATAGTTAGAAGTTAGCAAATTTCAATCTCGTGTACTACGACGGTAGCCTTGACTAGTGGAGACAGTGTAGGTCTACGAACAGATTGAACACTCTGTCGGGCCCCAGTGATACGCTGACTGGACATGATGTAGTTGGCACGACAATTTAGGTAGATACATTGGTGCAAAGGTTTGTCTTTCCTGCTGTCAATTTAGCGCTGGCTCAATTACGAAAATCAAAGTACATACATAGCATTGTAGAGTGAAATTTGAAACATGGCGTACACTACCGCAGAAATTAACTCAGTACGTTAGGAGCGGTGGTTGCCTTGAGGGTGAAGAAAAATTTGGCTGCTGGATCCATAATAAAAGGCTGCGCAGGTCAAACTGAATGCAACCTCGAAACTTGTAAGTAGGGGCATTCAGTGTATTTATTGCCGGTGCACCACAATGGTTCCCAAGTGAGTAGTATCCAACTTTCCATACAAACGTCAAGGGTAGAATTATTTTTAGAGAATAAATCTGGAAAAGACATATTCACCAGTTATTTACTCTTGGCTGGAAGTTATTCCATAGTTCCGACTTCTGGTAGCCAACTGAAACATTCTGATACGCAAGTTCCCATGAGAAACGGGATTTATTTGATAAAGTACTTCCACGGAATTTCAATCGAGTTTGCTGTACCTTGTGCTTAGAATCCAAAGCGGACCTACCGGTGGCTGATCGTAGGCAGCCTTCGTAGATTTAGGGTTGGACTGCGTACTGTATGTGCACAAGTAAACTCATGTTTTAGGATACCTTACGTTGTGGGTCCCGCTGTTCTGCCATGGCCACCACACTGTATTTATTTTAATGAGCCTCATATTTTGAAGTCTGTCTGTAGCGTTTCGACTCACAATCGTAATAAAAGCTAGTATTACTTCAACTGATTCTTCAAACCATGCGAGTGCGTAGCAAATCTGTACTCTGCAATGGGGAATTATTGTCCGCCAACATTCAAGTGAGTACTGCCTAAGACGTTTTGCTACAAACGCAAACGCAACATTCTCGTAGGTAATAACAGACGGTCGATTAGGTACACTATCACACCGATTTGAATTAAAAAAACTAATTTTCTGAAAGATTGATTTGAAAAATAAATAATGGTGAGGAAACAAACATACATTGGTCGAAAGAACGGAAACTAAACACGGAAACATCCTGCATCTTTATGGTAGGGCTTAATAGAACATAATATAAAGTATAATAGAATAGAATGGTACCAGAATAGAACAATTTGACGTAGAGATTCTGACGTGACGTATTCGAGTAACTTCAGGAAAACTTTTGTTTGGCAAACACGGAAAATGTTCTAAGCGGTCAGTGAGCAAATGGCCAGGCACACGATAAAACTTCCGCTCCACGTCCTTCATCGTTTTCACGCAACCTCAATCACAGATCGCTTTTCGTGTGACGGAAGCCAGGATCCATCTTATGAAACAAGTCCGCGTGTTTATCCAAATATAGCCCACAATATACGGCGGCCTTCCGATTATCCTTAGAAGTTTTGAGCACCGAATTCATATCGGCTGGTGAAAGGGGGTGAGTTGGAAAAGAATTACGTTTATACTACTAATAACAATGTAGTAGCGCGTTTCACAATGATTAGGTTAACAAAAAGTGTCGAACTGCTGGGGGGTCGATTAAGACACGATGCTTATCGCACAATTACGCTCTTAAAATATAACCGACGAATAGCTAAATACTGGGGTATCAAATTTGAAAAAAACTAATAAACCTCTTTCGGATCAGACGCTTAACCAACTTTTAAGTTAGTTAATTCGTTGATTAAAGACAGCATGTATTTGAAATTGCTCAAAACTCAATATTAGCATGGTAATGTTGAAGGTGCAAAGGTATTATATGGTTACGGCCGGTCCATGGCGTCGAAGCGCAATTTAAAGAACTTGGATGCTTGACAAGTTCTGAGCTTACATCAGCATGTCAGTAAACTGCTCTGCCCAACGTCTCAAGCGTTTTGACAGGCTGGGGGCATCATGGCTAACCCTAGGTCCCATGAGATTGTTACCATGGGCAGCGATTGTTTCCTTCTCCGATCCAAGACGAGGCCACTAGGTTTCATGGTCACTCTTCATGCTAGCAAGCAACATCGAGAACATGGGTGTAATTATTTTTAGTAATTCCTCCTCAGACTCGTAAAACCATAGCAAACAATCAGCAGTATGGGTTACAGTTGATCGGACTAACTTTAATGAAACATATCACGCGCTGGCCAGGTTACTAAAACAAATGCCAATCTAAGCTAAGGCCATTGCATTTTCAATCTAGTGCAAATGGCTTAAGTGTGTTCCATTTTGCTGACCAAGACAACTACAGAGTTTGGATCAATTATTTCAAGGAAACTAAAGGAGGTAAAACCAACCGAATGCCAGCTGCCACAAGAATACGCAGGCGTAAACTTTTCCATTCCAGGTGAGAGAACAAACAGAATATCCATGAGGTATGGTTTACTTTTATTTCTCAATATTTATTAAATTAACAGTCGTTTCTTCTCGTAGGAAACGGCAGGCCACAACATCAAATGATAAGCAACTTAAAAGATGGACAGTACCACAAACCAATAATGGTTGCGCCAATTTCAGGCAAAACTTTAGAGAACCATTCTGGTATGCTCTAGCGCAAATGTGCAAAGTTAAAACATCCTCTGATTTGCAGGTATATGAACGTAACAAAACTTCGGAAAGTGTTATGGCGACCCAACGTCCCTATAATTATTACAGGATTAAATTACGGAAGGCTGAAAACCCGATTCACACAAGTGCACATGTACTCGGAGCAGACAAAACGCACACGTTCAATCAGCCTTCCAACTCGTGAAACATTCACATTCGTTTAGCCTTTGGACCCAGAAACAATCTCGTTTCCAAC